CACTTTATGGACATGATATAATCATTAGAAATGACTGTCATAAAGATTACACAATAACATGAACAATGAATATAATGCTTGTTAATTGCAAAATGAAGATTAAAAGAGACAATGCTGCACAATTGTGCATAGGCAAAGGACGGAGAACGGAGCCTAACATAAACTTGGTCATCTATAGCTCCAAAAATCTCCAACAGGATCTATTTTGCCAAACTATTCCCTGTCATTTAAGTTCAGTCAGAACTTGAATAAATACAAAATAACTTTCATAAATAAAATAAAGGTAAGTTGATCATTTTAATAAATTAAATAAGGATCAATTAAAGCATGGTCACTGGCTGCTTCTAAGCAGAAGACAGCTAGCCCATGGCTTACAGTGAGAGGCAGCTCAATCCTGTGTGCTCCTATGAATGAATCAGAGGAAAGCTGCACATTCAGGGCATTGCAGGTAATTGGGACTCAACATGTTGTTGAGGCATTGAGTATCATAATGAGAATCAGCCACCCTCACAGAAACTCTACCATTTCCTGAAGCAATCAAGTGATTGCTTGCGTCATAGCACCTGCTGTAATTCCTGCACAGGCAACCTTTGCATCTGATGCTAAAAAGAGAAATCCATCCCGCCCCACCTTTCTCCTCATTTTAAGATGTTCTTCCTTTCCTCCTCATCTACTTTCCTGGCCCATTACTCTTATCTTAACTAATCTTTCTTTTTTTATGTTCACTAAGACCCAATAATGATACTCACTCATACTGTAAGCATTGCTGAAATGAATTTTCCAGATCACTGAAGCACGCTCCTTTAAAAGCTAGAATACATTTTAAAATTACCTTGAAGCACTTTGACTGGGAATTTTTTAAATAAGCCATTTGTTTCTTTACTTCTTAACAGAGTGTACACCACAGAACTTGAAACTTTCTTGACCGTGCAGGCACATCAAACTAAGCATGCCCTCAGGCCCCTCTAAGATCTAAAGAATGTTCTTCCCTATACACACAGCCCCAGATCCCTGAAGATTACTACTTCATTTCCTGTCTCATTTTTAGAGTTCTAGATCTCCGCTTACTGTCAGGAAGAGCTTTACTTTTCATTACTTTCACTGTATCTCGTTTTTGCCTTTCCCCTCCCACTCCCTAATCTGTTAGTGCGGGTGGGGGGGAGCCAGACTGGCAAACGTCCGGGAAACATGTCAGATAAGGTTTTACTGATATATGATCACTGGTCTTTGAGTAAGGGCCTAGGACCTCTCCTGTGAGTAAAGTACATCGGGTTTGTGACAATTTCAAGAGCCCTGATATTCTCTTTACTTAATTCTGAGTTTCTGTAGAAGTACAAGTGAAGATAAAAAATAAGTGAAGTAGTCAAGAGTTTGACCTCTGGACAAGTGGGGTATCACTGTCATTTGTATTCGTGTAAAAATCTTGTTTCAGAACAGTTTGTATTCATGGTTTTAGGAAGCACTACAGCCTATACTCTACCATCTATCACCATTCCTTATTTAAACTTCGGATTAAAAAATGAGAAAGAATAAGGCAAAATGATGACTTTTACAAGTTAGAGATCACCAAATAGCATAGCTTCCTGAGATACGTCTGTCCTGCCCTTTTCTTTCTCAGCGTTTAATTTAGGACATGCATCATCTGTAAGCTAAGTGACTCACCATCATCATAAACACACTAGGTCATTCTACCTTCTCAGACACCATTAACTACACCATCTTTTCAGTTTCTTAAAGTGGAACCTTGCCCTGGCCAGTTTGGCTTAGCGGCAGAGCGTCGGCCTGCGGACCAATGAGTCGCAGGTTCGATTCCAGCCAAGGGCACATACCTCGTTTGTGGTTTGTCCCCAGCCCTGGTTGGGGGTCATGTGGGAGGCAACCAGTCGATGTGTCTCTCCCACACTGATGTTTCTCTCTCTCTCTCTCTCTCTCTCTCTCTCTCTCTCCCCTTCTCCCTCCCCCTCTCCCCCTCTCCCCTTCTCCCCCTCTCCCCTTCCCTCCCACACTATCTGAAGATAAATAGAAAAATATCCTCCGGTGCGGATTTAAAACAAAAATCTTAAAGTGGAACCTTGCTGTCATCAAAGTCTCTTCCCTCAGTTTCCTCTTTAAACCAGGCAATTTCAAGATTCTGGTGCATGTGGTTTATCCCACATCTGAGATGTATTTTACCTGCTTCTCCCTCAAGCCTGTAAAACTCTAATTCATGGCTCTTGCAGACTTCTGCTTTCCAAACAACCCTCTCCCCTCCCTCTACCCAAATCCACCCCCAAATAACAGTGCCCACTCTTTCATTACTGGGCTCTCAATCTCTACTTCCTGAGCACTGTCATTGGTTAACTCTCAAAATATTTCTTCCTCTCATGTGAAAGCTATGTTTTCACCTTTAATTCTTTTTATAGTACTTCTTACCACCCACTTCCTCCTGCTCAATCTTTACATTAGCACCTTCCAGTTTTATATGTTCCATATACTTTTACCAACAGAACTAAAGGAGCATGTTGGAATTCTCTTTTCTCATGTCTACTCCAGAGGCCTTTCCTTGATCACACCTTAAAATCTTCAAATGCCTCTTGTGAAATTTTCTTTTCTAAATGCCTCGGATGTCACTTTCCCCATTTAATTTACTCAACTAGTTTCACTTTCGTGTATTTCCCAAAACCACTGGAGAAATAATTACCACATTTTCTGTTGTAGTTATTCCTTACATACCTCTGCTCCCTCCTCCTTCCTCAGATTGCAATTGTCAACAATAGCAGGACTGAACTTCTGAACATTTATATGTAGAGTTACACAAATACCATTCCCCAAACTGTGCAAGTATCCTCTCACCAGTCTATCGTTTCTGCCTCTACCGACAGCTTTCCAATTTGGCCAGTAGAATCCCCATTTCATGGTAAATAAACTCCCTTCTGCCTTCAACTCATTTGGAAAGACTTCCCTCTGGAAATTTGGGCCTCCCTTAAAGATGCTGCTGGACTCCTGGCTCCTGCAGCCCTCCATAAGGAAAGGACCCATTCTTCCACAGGATGGACACCTCAGGGTCATGTGTATGTGTGTGGGGGGGAGGTCTACTTGCTCCCCTCAGAGCCACTAAAACACCAACACTTTGCCAGCCTCAGGTAAAAGCCTCTACTCCTTCCAGGTCCATGATTTGTGACTAAACTTTCTTCCCCTGCTCCCCATCTCTCAGTCCTGTCACAAGCTCATTTAATACACCTGCTTTCCATGGGCTTCACCTTCTCATGTCCACTATTGTCTTTCATTCACTTCAGCTATCCAAATTCTGGACCCCACCTTGGACCCATTTATCCCCTAGGATTACTCTCCTTGCAACTACCCACCAATCCTGCCTCCTAAGGCCCTCACTCCAGTCAGCCTGCTCCCTGACCTCAGAGAACATGCCAATCTGTCAATCCTCCCATTTCTCCCAGTTGATTGGCCCATCCTGGCTTCTCTTCCTTCCCTGCCCAGCTTGTATTCTGGGTCTGATCTCTAGAAATGCTCTTTCACCAGCACCCTCAGCTCCCTACCATCAAACCTATGGCTGGACTTCTTGCTACCAACCCACTACCTGGGCATCCTTCTATTTCCTCTGACCCCACACTCTGGCTATCATGCTCTAGATCATTGCTTAGGCCTCCTGCAGTCTCAACTGAATTACCTCCTAAGTGCCAGCTCTATTCATCCACTCCTTGTTTGGTCTGCTCCATATCCTTCCAAGCTTCCATTCTGAATGAATGACATGGAAACCTTTCATTTCTATTATAATTTAGTACTTAAAAATGCTTTTGGAGCCCTGGCCGGTTTGGCTCAGCGGTTAGAGCGTCAGCCTGCGGTCCGGAGAGACCCGGGTTCGGTTCCCGCTAAGGGCACGTACCTTGGTTGCAGTTTGTCCCCAGCCCTGGTTGGGTCGTGTGGGTGGCAACCACTCGATGTGTCACTTTCACGTCGATGTTTCTCTCTCTCTCTCTCCCTCTCACTCTATCTGAACAAAATATCGAAAAATGTCCTTGGGTGAGGATAAAAAAACAACAACAACAACAACAACAACAAAAATGCTTTTGGATATGTATGTTATTTTATTCACAAGACAATCTCTTATGAGGTGAAAGCTCAAGAATATTGCAGTCGAAAGAAAAATTAAGGCTTATGAAGTGATGTGACTCAAGCTCTCACATTCTCCAAAGAGTGGAATTGATTGGCCATTATAATGATCAAACTATATTTTATTTCAGTCCATCTGAGACACCTATGCTGTGCCCAATTATTCAACATGCTAGTTATGGGGATAACACAGTAATCATAAAAGAGTACCACTGTGAAGGCAGTGGTCACCATGGGATCAGTTTTCTACATGCACTCGTCCCAGAAGCAAACCTTCAGTTGACAACTGCTGGCTCAGAGAGAGAATTAACTCTAATCCAAGAGATGCAGATAAATTCCATGCAGACCAAGCTGCTCTGTGACCTCTGTGTGGGCTTCCACCACCAAAACCCAACAAATGAAGAGAAGTCATGATACTGGAAGAACAACTGAGCCCAGCAATGGTGCATCAGGTAGAAAAGAGAACAAGGTGTAACTTACCATGTGGGACTCCTTTCACATATTATTAGTGTGCATTGGAAGAGAAGACTGGTATGTGATATGCTCACTTCTGGACAAAATAAAATAAAACAGACTGTTCCCCTCCCCATCCTTTGGCATCTAGACATTTACAATGTATAAAGACCATAAATACAATCAGCTACAAATCCTAAGGGCTATAGAGATAATAACAACATTGAACAAAGACCCAACTTAAATTTTTTTAAATCTTATGAAATATGTATAAGAAAAACCCAAAAGATATCCTTTTATAAATCGTTCAGCTTCTTTCATAACAAGTATTATATTACATCTGTATTTGTATATATCCTTAATAAAACTAATATTGTTACCTGTCCTATGATTGACCTCCCCCAACAAAAATGCAAATATTTAGCAAAACAATCATTTACCTTGGAGAAGATCAAAAGGAGATCATCTAATTTTCCATGTAAATCACCTGGAGTGCAAATGAAAAATCATTATTCAGTAGGAAACAAGAAAATGCCCATTTTGTTACGGAATTTTATTTTATATATTTATTTTTTATATGAGTAAAATGTTTTATTTTTCAATTTTTATTAATTCATTTTTGTTACAGATGTTTCTCCTTTCTCCCCCCAGACACCCTCCTCCCCATCCCGTCACGCCCCCCCCCCCAGCATTGTTGTCTATGTCTATTGGTTATGCATACATGCACATAAGTTTTTTGGTTCATCCTATCCATCCCCTCTGCCCCCTTCCTCTGAGGTTTGTCAGTCTGAATCATATTCCTTTCTATGTCTCTGGGTCTATTTTGTTCATCAGCCCACCTTGTTCATTATATTCCACAAATAAGTGATATTATATGATACTTGTCTTTCTCCGACTGGCTTGTTTCGCTTAGCATAATACTCTCCAGGTCCCTCCATGTCGTCTCAAAGGATAAGAGATCTTTCCTTCTTACAGCTGCATAGTATTCCATTGTATATATATATACCACAGCTTTTTTATCCATTCATCTATTGATGGACACTTGGGCTGTTTCCAGATTTTAGTGATTGTAAATAGTGCTTCTATGAACATAGGCGTACATATATTCTTTCTGATTGGTGTTTCAGGCTTCCTAGGATATATTCCTAGAAGTGGGATCACTGGGTCAAATGGCAGATCAATTTTTAATTTTTTGAATAAACACCATACTGTTGTTTTCCATAGTGGCTGCACCAGTCGCCATTCCCACCAGCAGTGTACTAGAGTCCTCTTTTCTCCACACCCTCGTCAACACTTATTATTTGATGATTTGTTGATAGTGGCCATTCTGACAAGTGTGAGGTGATACCTCATTGTTGTTTTAATTTGCATCTCTCTGATGATTAGTGATGTTGAGCATTTCTTCATATGTCTCTTGGCCATTTGTATGTCCTTTATGGAGAGGTGTCTACTTAGGTCCTCTACCCATTTTTTAATTGGGTTCTTTGTCTTCCTTTTGTTAAGTTGTATGAGCACACTATATATTTTGGAAATTTGCCCCTTATCTGATGTATCATTGGCAATTATGCTCTCCCATATAGTAAGTTCCTTTTACATTTTTAAGGGAAAAAATGAACACATGGGACTACATCAAACAAAAAGCTTTTGCACAGCAAAAGAAACAACCATCAAAATGGAAAGAGAACCCACTATATGCGAGAGCATAATTGTTATAGAATTTTAAAACTGAAATACTGCTAATATACTCCAAACATTCTCAGGGCATTGGGAATTTACCCTATGATGATATTAATTCAACAATTTGTTCTCCTACCACTCTATGGATACTTTGTCCTCTTTTCTCTGGGTAACAGCATTAAATATCCCAATTGTTTATTCATTCCAGCCGTTTACATAGTGCTTGCATTCCTCTGTGCCAAGCACTGTACTATGTGTTTGCGTTAATTATCTTGTTCAATCCTTATAACCACTCTATGAGATGGATATTATTTTCATTATTCTCATTTTACAAATGACGCTCAGACTAGTTAAGTAACTTATGCAAAGTTACCCAGCTACCAATTATCACAGCTGGAATTCAAACCCAACTTTATCTCACTTCAAAACTGAAGCTCTCAGCAGTTATTCTGTACTGTAATCTCTAGAACAGCAATAGTATCTATCTTGGCATTAACCCCCTAAGTGTTTCCTCTATATCCAGTGATAGTAGGAATTCAATAAATATGTTTAATTGCTAAATGTGTAGCTTTTTAAAGCCATGTTTTAAAGAATATGTTCCAGCAGTAGCATTTGAAACTTAAAAATTGTGAGTAGAAAGCTTACATTCTTTTGATGAGACAGTTATAGAAAATTAAAATGAAAGCATGGCTTTATAAAACTCAGCCAACTAAAGGAAACCATATGAATATATGAAGCCATTAATTAGAAATCAAGAGTGAATATATGAATATTCAAAAGGCCTATTTGAATTATTATTTCTAAGTAAATATTTGTCTTTCATAAGCTCTGATCATAAATATTTATTCTCTGTATCAAACTTAATTACCAAATAAAATTTAATTTAGAAAAAAAATTTCCTCAATTTGCTTAAAAGCCCACAACCAAAATTAACCAAATATATGCAACAAAATACTCCAATTATAATGGGAATAATAAAACTAAAATACTTATCACTAGCACTTACTCATAACATGACTATATTAGTAAGATTAAGAGCATGTTAATATTATTATATACTTAAAACTCATGATTTCACATGGTCTCACTCCAAATCTAAAAAAAAAAAAAATGGAAGGACCTTTTACTTATTATTTATATAAATATATTTTAATTATTTTATTTTCTTAATTGTCTTCAGGGTGACTCATCTTTCAAAGATTTGGGTAGACAGAACTATTGCAGCTCTCATGCTAAAAATGAATTGGTTTCAGTATATTCAGAGTGGAGGCTATAAAAATATTTTTAACTTCTACTTGGGCAGCAAGCGATAAAAGTCATATCATGGAAAGATAGATGCATAAAGATACTTCCACTGCAAACAAAAATATAAGTGCAGAATTAGTTATCATTTACAACATTACTGTAGACTAAAACACCTCCTATATTTCTTGTGTGTGTGTGTGTGTGTGTGTTTGTGTGTGAGTGTGTGTGTGTGTGTGTATGATCCTTGCACAGGGGCCATGCTAATCTTCCCTGTATCATTCCAGTTTTAATATACGTGCTGCCAAAGCAAGCATGAAACACCTCCTATATTTCATGCATGTTGAGAACCAAGTAGCATGTTTAAATGTGCATAGAAAATATGCATCTGGAAATTAAAATAATGGTAAAGTTTCATCACAATTTCTTTCCCTTTCCTAATACTGTCTTAAACAGAAGATGTATTTGGAAATATGGCTCTAAATAAATTAATTAATTTAAAAAAAGAAAATATTACCCTAATTTGAAATTTTATTTTAAATACTGACCAAATTTTTCTAAGTTCAATGGCACTATTAAAGACAGAAAATAACTCCTGTGCTAAGGGAACCTACTGGTCTTGGCTTTTCCTTCTGCCAATGGTGCTATGTGGGGAAAGCCTGGAAATAAATGCCCAAGATGTGGGGCTCTTTCAATGAATGGAACTGCCCCATCAATCTTTATGCCGTGATGGAAAAATGAAACATCAGTCAGAGCAGTACATGATATGGAGTTAGGATAGCACATACCTGGCTGGCTCTAACTAGAGGACCTGATATTTTATCTTGACTCTGCCACTAACTAGCTGAGTGAGCTTGGTGTGGGGGTGGGGAGCCATTACTACATAGAAATACATGGAAGGTGATACATTTTTCTCTCTGGGTCTCAAATTCATCTGTGAGAGCAAGTGATAGAGACAGATGGTCTCTGTAAGAATCCTTCAATTCTTACACTGTGTGATTCCAGGATTCCATGCACTTAATTAATTCATGTCTTCTTCCAGATCTTTTTATCCAAAGATAAGTCTACAATAGCAACTGGAGATATACCAGAAACATGTTTGGCCTATTATATACACTCTGGTAGCAAATCTAGCCCTGGCTCCATAGGCTCCGTGGGTAGGCATGGCTTCCTGAGCCTCATGACTCCAAATCCGTTGTCTCCATGAAAAGTAAGAGTTGGTGAGGCCTTGAATAAAAGACCCCCACTGCTGAGATGCCTCATCTGCTAGGCAGAGATGTGGTAGCCTGATTAAGTTGGAATTGAACCATTAAAGACTCCAAAAACTTGAGTCAGGGCATGTCATGAAGTATATACTGCTGCATCAAGTCCCTGTCACCACTATCAGATTCTAGAAATGGAAATGGATTAATTAGACTGTCAAATCCACTTCTACCTGCCAGAGTAAAAGAAACATGGGCTAAAAATTGATTTGGAAAATAACAATCACTGTTTTGTAACCTAAAGGCTTAATTAGAAGTTAAGGGAGTTGCTGTTCCTTCCACGCACTCCATTCTCAGACAGTTGCAAGCATGCTGAGCACCAACTGTGTTGAATTTCAATGTGTACTGTTTCTTGAAGCGATATCCTGCCAGGCTGGCCTATAGGATAACAAAATCTCAATCTTGTTATTTAGAAGAACAAGGAACAGATTTCTGGGACATTCCCACTCTTCTAAAAGCTGCAGAGACCAGTTGGAAAAATCTAAAACAGCAGCCAAGGGCAGAGAAGAGTTTAATCTCCACCCTGCCTTAGGCTTTTCTCTTTCCAGCATAAGTGGCATGCAGAAGCCCACCTAGGAAAAGCAACATGAAATAAATATAATGAGAGCTAGACGGAGGGCAAAGAACACTTATTCCACCCATGGGTGGTTTTCCGTATTAAAATGCTGCCTGCCTTTATATAAAGCTATGAGTTCTTTAATTTCTCACATAATTAATTCCTGCCAGCTGGTATGCAAAACAAAGACAAGATGGGGAACAGTATTATCATGATAGATAATTCTATATTAACACTTTTCCCTTAACATAGTTCAATTTACACGGTTTTCAAGTTAGGCAAATAACACGAAACCAAGAGGTTCCAAAATATTAATTTGGCAACCCTGCTCTGAAACTTACCACAAATTGTTATCTCTTTGTTAGGACAAGTTCTTATATGAGTAAAATTTGGCATTTGCTTCAGGACTTCCTTAGTTTCAAACAGTATCTCTAAAACATAATAGGCATGGAGTATCTGTGAGGGCAAAACAGAGGAAATAGATATGGTAAACTAGGAAGAAAGGCATGACTGAATAGAAAAGAAATAGAAAATAGAAAGCTATAAAGGTGGAGCATGTGAGCACATTTCAGATAGCTATATTTAAGGATCATCCCTAAATTATTCTCAAATAGATGATTCAAGCACAGTGTCTGGCATATAATAACTCCTCACCAGAGATTTGTAAATCGAATGAATAAATAGTTCCTAGGACATTTATACTCCCGTGCTTTTAATTGACATTACCCATTCATAGAACATTTATGATTATTCTTGGTCAGTAAAGCCCAAGAGAAGTGATAGGAAAAATAAGAGACTCCCTTACGTTAAGGAAGTGTGCAGAGAAGGAAGGGAGGAAGGAAGGGAGGAAGGAAGGAAGGAAGGAAGGAAGGAAGGAAGGAAGGAAGGAAGGAAGGAAAAAAGAAAGATGAAAGAAAGAAAGAGAGAAAGAAAAGGAAGGAAGGAAGGAAAGGAAGGAAAGGAAGGAAGGAAGGAAGGAAGGAAGGAAGGAAGGAAGGAAGGAAGGAAGGAAGGAAGGAAGGAAGGAAGGGAGAGAGAATGAGAAGTAGAAAGAGACTGTTGAAGAAGGTCTGCTTTGTATTTCTTTGGGACATCCTACCACCTGGGATGGAAACTAGATGGTTGTACAGGGTTCTGATAAATCTCAAAAGGAGGCCATACAAGCCCCTAGGAAACCCTGAGCCAGGCATCCCAGGTGTGGCTCAACTGTTGGTACACAGATACGAGAGTTTACAGAACAGCAAGCACATTTATATTGAACAAATATAAGTATAAAACACATATGAAACCCAAATAAACCATTTGGGTTATCTGCTATTATGACCATTCATTCATTCCATGACTCTCCTCCAGTTAAATTCTTGATTACATCATTGTTTTGGACAGATTTACTTTGTTTTCTCCTCTGTAGTTTTTTGTTTGTTTTAAATTTGGTGTGCTGTTCTTCCCTTTATTAATTATAAAATATTCCAAATACATAAGCCAAAAAGTAATGTAGCCAATACAAATTTAACAGATGTTAACACCACTTTATGGGTCAGGACTGTTGGTAATCCAGTATAGTAACCACTAGTCCCATGGGGCTGTTGACCACTTGAAACTAAGCAATGCTGTAGGTACAAAATACACACCAGATTTCAAACACTTAGTATGAAAAAAAATAAAATAAAATGTCTCATTAAAAACTTTTACTAGAATTACATATTAAAATGCTAATTATATATGCTGGGTTAAATAAAATATTTTAAAACTAATTTCACCATTTATTTATACTTTTTAAGTGTGACTACTAGAAAATTTAAAAATATGTATGTGATTCACATTATATTTCTATTAGCACTGGTTTAGATTACTGAAAGCTGAGAGAGGGGTCATGTCTACATATTGTTCAGATACTGCTCTGGGTATAGAAGTCAGGGCAGATGGAACCCTTTGGAAAAATCATAACTCATAGTGTCCTCAAATTTTCATTTTCCTAGCTATTAAAATAATAAAATAATTTTCAATCCCAGACCCCAAAAACACATAATTTAAATTTGGATAATTTTCACTATTATGTTTTTTAAAGACAGAAATTAGAATTTGAAGTAATGTGAGAATTAGGAGGAAAGAGAAGGACCCCTGGATGTTGATTAGTGGGAAGAGACCCATCTTCCCTGTCCATCTAAGAACTAACAGACTACTAAGGATTTTCCCCACAAAAGCATTCTAAATCCTGTTTTCTTTCATGAATTTTGTATCCTCATGTCCCTAGTTAATATTTGTATTAAGTTCTGGACATGGTATATGAAAACTTGGAGAAATTTTTTGAGACCTATTTTCTTCCAGAGAGGATTTAAATTTTCTTTTGGCAAGTGCCTAGGAGTACTAGCTATCTAAGATGATCTCAATCCAATCTCAGGAATTAGAGGATTCAAAGCTTTGCTTCAGTGCCTATTCTACTTGTAGTTCACTCTTATTCCTAGGGTATGTCCTTATGGTCCTAGCCTGAGAATGAGGATTTTAGGGTGATGTCAGAGAAAATAATGGAATAGAAAGCTCCAAGGCCCATCCCTTCACAGAAACACTTTTAAAAATCAAGCAAAAACAAAACTGTCACAATCAACTTTGTCAGAGCTCTGGAAAATAGTTAAAATGTATAACTACCAAGCAAACTCTAAATCAGGAAATGGTAACTTAAAAATGTCTCAGCGCAAGCAGGAAGGCTAAGACAAACTTGTAAATAGCCTGGCTAAGTGGTGAAGGCGAGTACCAACACAAAGCCAATCCACAAAGACTGGATTTTTCTTTTCCTTTTTTTTTTTAATAGCTCCTAGGGTTCAAGGAAATTCTGTAAAAATCCTAGCTGAACACAAGCTAAAGGAACAGAAACTTCAGAGACCTCACACACAACTATACCTAACAGACATCTATAGAATGCTCCACCCATAGACTGCATATTTTTTACAAATATACATAGAACATTCTCCAGAACAGACCAGATGTTGGGCCATGAAACAAGCCTCCATTGATTTTATTTTTTAATTGAATTTATTGGGGTGTCTTTCTTCAGATCATATAAATCTTTCACCTCAATAGATTTTAAAAGATTGGAATCATGCAAAGTGTCTTTTCTGACTACAATGAAATAAAACTAGAAATCAGTAACAGAGGAAAAACTAGAAAATTCACAAATATGTGTAAATTAAACAATATTCTCTTAAACAAATGATGGGTTAAACAGCAAATCACAAGGGAAATTAGAAAATACTTTGAGATTACCCTGGCCGGGTAGCTCAGTTGGTTAGAGCATCGCCCTGATACACCATGGTTGTGGGTTCAATCCCCAGTCAAGGCAAACATAAGAATCGACCAGTAAATACATAAATAAGGGGAACAACAAATCAATGTTTCTCTTTCTCCCTCAAATCAATAAACAATTGTTTTAAAATAATTCTTTGAGGTGAATGAAAATGAAAACACAATATATCAAAACGTATGGGATAAAGCAAAACTGATGCTCAGAAAGAAATTTATAGCTGTAAATACCTACATTAAAAAAGAAGAGCCCTGGCTGGTTTGGCTCAGCGGTTAGAGCGTCGGCCTGCGGTTCAGAGAGACTCGGGTTCGGTTCCCGCTAAGGGCACGTACCTCGGTTGCAGTTTGTCCCTGGCCCTGACTGGGTGGTGTGGGTGGCAACCACTTGATGTGTGCCTTTCACGTCGATGTTTCTCTCTCTCTCTCTCTCTCTCTCTCTCTCTCCCTCCCTCCCTCCCACTCTGTCTGAACAAAAAATAGAAAAGTGTCCTCAGGTGAGGATAAAAAAAGAAAGAAATTAGAAAGATCTCAAATGAAAAGTCTCACTTAACATTGAGGAGCTAGAAGAATAAGAGAAAACTAAATAAAAAGCTAGCTGAAGCAAGAAAATAAAGATTAGAGTATAGAAAAATAAAATAGAGAACAACAACAACAACAAAAAACAATAGGGAGAATTAACAAAACCAAAAGTGAATTCTTTGCAAAATTCAACAAAATTCAAAAACCTTTAACTACATTCACTAAGAAAAAAAAAAGACAAAATGCAAAAAACTATAATCCGAAATGAATGCGGGGACATCCCCACCGACCTTAAAGAAATAAAAAGAGTCCTTACCAGTGTGGCCCAATTGGTTGGAGCATTGTCTGGTACACAGAAAGGTCACGGGTTTGATTCCTAAACAAGTTGTAGGTTCAGTCCCTGGTCTGGGCATGTGCAGGAGGCAACCAACTGATGTTTCACTCTCACATCAATGTTTCTTTCTCTTTCTCCCTCTCCCTTCCTCTCTCTCTAAAATAAAAAAAAAGCATGTCCTCAGGTGAAGATTTAAACAAACAAAAAAACAACCAAATGAGAATTATGAGACTACTATGAACAATTGTACACCAACAAATTAGATAACTTAGGTGAAATGGACAAAATCTTAGAAACAAATTATCAAAACTGACTCAAGAAGAAGCAGAAAACCCAAACAGATCTAGAACAAGTAGAGATTGAATCATTACTCAAAACCCTAACAAATAAAAATCCAAGACCAGACTGCTTTGCTTTGTTGGTGAACTCTACTAAACATTTAAATAATTAACACCAACCCTTCTCAAACTCTTGCCAAAATTAGAAGAGTAAACAATTCCTAAATCATTCTATGAGGTCAGTACTATCCAACACCAAAGCCAGATGAAGACATCACAAGAAAAGAAAATGCAGATCAATATCCCTATGAATAAAATTCAAATCCTCACAAAATACCAGCAAACCAAATCCAACAGAATTTTAAAAGTATTATATACCATGAACAAACAGAATTTATTCCAGGAATACATGGGTGGTTCAACATGAGAAAATTAATCAATGTAATACATCACATTAATAGACAATGTGCTGCTGGCCTAAGGATAGATACATATACCAATGGAATAAAATTGGGAGTCCAGACTAAATCCATACATCTATGGCCTATTAATTTTTGACAAGGTTACCAAAACCATTCAATGGGAGGAAAAATAGACTCTTCAACAAAAGGTGCTGGGACAACTGCATATCCACGTGCCAAGAATGAAGTTGGACAGAAATGAACCGAAAATGATTCACAGATCTAAATGTAAGAGCTAAAGCTATAAAATTCTTAAAAGAAAACATAGGATTAAATCTTCATGACCTTGGATTTGGTAACAGATTCTTAGATATGACACCAAAAGCACAAGCAACCAAAGAAAAATAAATAAATTGGACTTCATCTAATTTAGAAATTTTTGTGAATCAAAGGACATTATCAAGAAAGTGAAAAGACAACCTACAAAATGGGAGAAAATATTTGCAAAAAACGTATCTGATAACGGATTTGTATCCAGAATATATAAAGAACTTCTACAACTCAATAATAGAGAAATAACCTGATTTTAAAGTAGGCAATGGATCTGAATAGACACTTTTCTAAAGAATGTGTCCAAATGGCCAACAAATATGAAAAGATGCTCAATATCTTTAGTCATCAGGGAAATGCAAATCAAAGCCACAAGGAGATACCACTTCACACACAACTAAGGTGGCTATAATAAAAAATAAATAAAAAAAATAAACAGAAAATAATAAGTGTTGGCAAAATAATTGGAGAAATTGGAACCCTCATGCATTGCTGGTAGGAATGTAAAATGGTGCAGTTGTGAAAAATGTTTTGGATGTTCCTCAAAATGTTAAACACAGAGTAACCATATGACCCAGCAATTCCACTCCTAGGTATATACTGAAGAGAAATGAAAACATAAGTTCATGTAAAAACTTGTACATGAATGTTCATAGTATCATTGTTCATAATAGCCAAAAGGTAGAAAAAAATCCAAAAGTCCATCCATTGATGAACTGATAAACAAAAATAGTATATCCATACAAAAGTCTAAGTTATAAAAGTAAAGTAATAAAACATGCTGAGATATGAATGAACCTTAAAAACATTATGCTAAATAAAAGAAGTCAGACACAAAATGCCACATCATATATGATTTCCTTTGTATGAAATATCTAGAATAGATAAATCCATAGAGACAGAAAGTATAAGAATGGTTGCTTGGGGTGAGGGAGGAGGAAATGGTAATGGGTATGGAACTTCTTTTTGGGGTGATGAAAATGTTCTGGAATTAGTTATTGGTAATGGCTGCACAATCTTCTGAATGTACAAAAAAAAAAAACCCCACTGAATCATATACTTTAAATGGTGAATTTTATCTTGGATTATACCTCAGAAAAAGAAAAAGGAAATGCCATAAGCTATAGATAGAGAGGAAGTTTCTGTGCACCTGAGGATACTTCTAAATCAATGGATTAAGCAAAGCAGAGGGTAGCTCTCACTTAATGTGAAGCTTTTTCCCAAGGGAATGCATTTCTGCTGTACTATTTCCATTCACTAATTCAACAAATAGTCATTGAACACATGTTATGTACAAGAATTAAGGCAGTATCTGCTTCCACTTACCTGCTGCTTCTTAAAGGCTTCAATCAGTGTATTAAGAGAAACAGAACTGAGTGGAAATTGCAGCCGGGGGCCACTATAGGAGTCTGGAATCTCTATCAGCCCTATAAAATCCTGCCTACTGTTGTCAGCATGGGGGCCAATACCAAACAGCCGATGTACTAATGCTGGAAAAAACAGAAAGGGGGGCAAAAATCAACATACCCATACTTAAATGCAATACCTTCTTGAATGTCTAGCCAAAGTAAGGCAATGTGTTAAGTGTTATGAATACCAAGATATCCCACATATAACCATGAGGAATGATTTGTTCTGAGACCAGTAGGTACATGCACATGAATCACTATCACCCCTTCCTGGGTGGATATTTTACCAAAGCAGTGAGTTCATCAGTGGGGAATGGAGGGAGAAGCACAGGGAAAACTGGTCAATCACGGTATTTTTATTTTTTTACAAGATTTACCTGCCTGTTTTTTGTGTTTTTTTTATTTATTTTTTATTGTTGAAAGTATTACAGATGCCCCCACTGTATCCCCATTGACCCCCTCCTTCCCACTCAGTCACGGTGTTTTGATGCTCTGAAGCATCTACATTTTTTTGCCCACTCTTACATCTCAGATTTTTACAAATAGGGTTGAAAAACATAGCAATGCATTATATCTTGTTTAAACATATGCTGCTATTCATGATCTACAGAAAATTAAACTGCAACATTTAATTTTTCCCATTAAACACTTCAAATTTTACTTAGCTGTAACTGATTTGTCTCCCTCTTCGCATAAAAATAGATTTTCTGACATGATTTTCTTTTTCTTTTAGTAACAAAGCACATAAAGTTAGATGACAAACCATCAGCAGAAATTCCAAAGGACCTCTCTCTCAGAGACACATTTCTATATAACATTGCCTACACCGCCCATTTCAGTAGGTGCTGAGATCCAGTGTCCCTTTCTTGCTAGATTACCCATGAAATAATCAGCCCAAGAACAGAAATCTGGCCAAATCAGGTGGAGAAAGATGAAAGGGGATATGGTACATCGATAGTGACCCCAATTCTCTATCCCAAACTGTGGCCATGCTCTTTTTAATGTAATTTTGAACCTACTCTCATGAAGAGTCTATTTCCCCAGCCCTTTGAGTTGGTTCATGACTTGTGTGGGCCTAAAGAATGTAGTAGAAGTGTTACATACCAGGTCCAAGCCAAGGCCTCACAAGGACTTGTTTATTTCTATGCTTTCTCTTTTGAAACCGTGCCACTACCACAAAGCCCTGGCTAGCCTACTGAAAGCTCCAACACCATGTGGAACAAAGCTGAATCACACTAGCAAAGGCCATCCTAGATCAGCCACCAGCCAGCAGACCTCCAGACACATTAGTGAACTCTAGCCAAGATCTGAAAATCTGCCAAATCAAGCCTGCCAAGATCAGCAGATGTGCTCAGCTAATCTCTAGACTAATGAGCAAAAAGAAATGTGTATTACATGCCACTGAACTATTGTGGTTGTTTAATACATAGTATTATCACGATAACAGGTAACTGATACAGAAGACGATGACATCTTCAATTCATTAACACTGAATTGCTACTAAGGCCATTAATCAGAAGTTGTCTGCAAGCAGTTTCTATCATTTTGAATATTTAGAGTGGACATGTTTGAAAGGTATGACATTAGCAGATGTAGACAGAATATGTCTTTTCATGATTCACTTATTCTGGGAGATTAAGAACTAAACTTGAAAATTTTTCTAAAGCCATATTTGGGCATTTAAAAATGCTTTCTAAATTATTGTATATCCAATATTTGGGGGGGGATGGCTGATTATCTTTTATAAGAAGTTGAATTTAGGAGTAATAATGTCAGTCTTCAATGTGGTCCAGTGGGTTATTTTTCTTTTGGATTTGGTTTGAGATTTGAGAAAACATAATTACTTCATTTTATGTCTGAAAACTAGAAATGCAGAGCATCTTGGTAAATTTTATCTCAGATTCATTATGTAGGCAGTAAAGCCTAAATACTCTACTGAACTATCTTAATGATTATACCTCTCATTTCTACTTGGTAGTCAATCTTAGAAAAGCTTCTTGCTCCAAGGGAAAACTTTCCTCTTATTATTATTATTTTTTAATCCTCACCCAAGGACATTTTTCGATATTTTGTTCAGATAGAGTGGGAGGGAGAGAGGAAGAGAGAGAAACATCGATGTGAAAGGGATACATCGAGTGGTTGCCACCCACATGACCCAACCAGGGCCGGGGACAAACTGCAACCGAGGTATGTGCCCTTAGTGGGAATCGAACCCGGGTCTCTCTGGACCACAGGCCGACGCTCCAACTGCTGAGCCAAACCGGCCAGGGCACTTTCCTCTTATTTTATTTTATTTTATTTTTTCTTTATTGATTTTAGAGAGAGAGGTAGGGAGAGAGAGCTAGAAACATTGATGAGAAAGAACATCAATTGGCCACCTCCTGCATGCCCCCCACTGGGCATGTGCTCTGACCAGGAATCAAACTGGCAACCTCTTGGTACATGAATCCATGCTCAACCACAGCCACCCCAGCTGGGCATCTCTCTTTTTAACTCCACATACTGAAATATCAAGCTCCTTTTGGGAAAAAACAACAACAAAGAAAAACGAAACAACCCAGCAGTTTCACTATCTCATCATATAACTGACTTATTGAGTAATCCCAACTCTGTGAGATATAAACAAGAAATGACTTTCTTTCCCAATCATTGCTTTCACCTATGCTCCCTTTCTTGTCAGCTGACACATCAAGTCAATTCCATTAGTTCAGGTTATTAAAAGTCAGTTTTGTTTTTTAAGAACAAAATAGAAATACTGCTTTTCTTCTTTAAAAGAAGAAGAAGCAGCAGCTCAGTCTGGCCCTTCAAAACATTTGATGACCCTCATTCCTTATAAGTTCAGTGATAAATATATAAAAAAGCACCATTTTCCTAAATCAATTCTTGGTCAAAACTACTCAATATGAGCCTTGGCCACGGTGATTCAGTTGGTTGTAGTGTCATCCCATAAAACGAAAAGGTCAGGGATTTGATTCCCAGTCAAGGCACATACCCAGGTTGCATGTTTGATCCCCAGTCAGAGTGTGTAAGGGAGGCAACGATTAATGTTTCTCTCTAACATCTGTTTCCCTCTCTCCCTCCCTCTCCTTTCCTCTCTCTCTAAAAAGAGTCAATAAAATTCTCAGTGAGGATTAAAATAATAATAATAATTTAACATGTTTTTAAAAGATGCTGCTATTTTTAAAAAACTACTCAATATGAATGATCTGTAAACATCAAATCATAATCCTTCTGCTGGTTTTTAGCCACATTAAAAAAAAATAACAGATTCTCTCCCTAATGTATAGCTAATGTGGGTCATGTATAAAAACAATGAAAAGCTTTAACATTTCAAATGCAAGCACTTTCTTTGTAGGCTATAACTATTATAACTAGTAATAATAGTTTAATGAATGTCAACAATATATGAAGATTTGTGCAACATGTAATTAGAATTAATCCTTACCTAATGGTTTTATAATTCTGTCAACATGAATCTAAACAAACTATAATAAAATTTTGAAGTATAATCAAATGATACCTTTACAAGCTATTCTAAAAAAAACACCTTAAAAATGCTCCCTATACATAATCTTTTCTTTTACCTAGTACAGACTCAAAATGTGGATAGGGAAAAATTTTAAGTCCATAATTTAAAACAAAACAAAACAAAAAAAGTTCTGCCTCTACTACCCACATCTCATTTTATTTTTATTTTTTCATTTTTTTGCTAATCTTCACCTAAGGATATTTTCCCCTGGACTTTTAGATAGAGTGGAAGGAAGGGTGTGTGTGTGTGGGGGGGAGAGAAACATTGATGGGAGAGAAACACAGAAATTGGCTGCCTCCCACATGACCCTGATGAGGGCCAAGGATCAATCCTGCAATCCAGGTATGTGCCCTTGACCAGGAATTTAACCCATGACCCTTCGGTCCACAGGCTGGTGCTCTAACTGCTGAGACAAACCGACCAGGTTGACCTATATGTCATTTTTAAAACAAGCTCCAGATATTGCTTGGAAAAGGAAAAGCACCAATTGAACTGCATTTATAGTTATTTCATTTCTAAATTACAAATCTGGATTAAAACAGTTGGGTGTCCATATAATAAACTCAATAGTTGCCAAAATGACATTTTATAAAATTTAACACCTGTTCTTGATATTTAAAAAACCCAGAAAACTAAGAATGAAAGGATACCTCCCTAACATAATTTTTAATTTAAATTAACAATAATGGTTTTTCTATTAAATCATTAACAAAACGAGGATGCCTACTTTCACTGTTTCATTTTAACAATGCAACAAAACATGAAGTCAAATAAGAGGAGTGACTATTGGACACAAAGATATAAAAATAAAGTTACTTGTGGCCAGTATTATTAAATATATATACTAAGGCCCAGCCTATATGGCTCAGTTGATTGGGCATCGTCCCACACACCAAGAGGTCACTGGTTCAATTCCTAGTTAGGACACATGCCTGGGTTGTGGGCTAAATATCCAGTAGGGGATGTGCAGGAGGCAGGAGATAGATGTTTCTCTCTCATCAGTGTTTCTTTCTTTCTTTTTTTTTTTTATCCTCACCTGAGGACATTTTTCCATTTTTGTTCAAGTAGAGTGGGAGGGAGAGAGAGGAACAGAGAGAGAGAGCGAAACATCGATGTGAAAGGGACACATCGAGTGGCTGCCACCCGCACGACCAACCAGGGCCGGGGACAGACTGCAACCCAGGTACGTGCCCTTAGCGGGAACTGAACCCGGGTCTCTCTGGACCGCAGGCCGATGCTCTAACCTCTGAGCCAAACTGGCTAGGGCTCTCATCAGTGTTTCTATCTCTCCCTCTCCCTTTCTCTCTCTCTCAAATCAATAAACACACACATTATATATATATATATATTTTTAGAAAATCAATTGAAAAACTCCCATAATTGATAGAAGAATTAAAATAATACAAAGGTTAAAAATAAAATAATACAGAGGCTAACCATACTAGTTTGAATCACAGCTTCACCACTGATGAGATGAATAACCTTGGGAGGTTACCTTCTAAGCCTCATCCACAAAAAGGGGATGATAATAATACTGATCTCACTGGTTTGT